TAACAACCAAATATGTAAAAAATCCATCAGGTCCTTAATCCTGTAAAATTTACTGTTAAAGTAGGAATTTTATCATATTATATAATATTATTACAGAACCTTCATTTTGAATATGTTGAATAGTAATGATATCTGCCTAAACACTTTTTTGAAAAATTGTAGTTTCATTAAACTAATTTGTTTCTTTAATATTTTTATATAAATAAATATAAAATTATTATTTTTTAATGTATTTTAATTCAAAAAATCTAATTAAGTTAAATATAATTTCAGCAATTAAATAAAATAGTTTTGTCATTAATAAAAACTAGTTTTGTTATTTTAGTTTTGTTAATTTTGTCCTATTAAGAAAGGTATTTCATCAGATATCAATCACTATTGAATAGGCATCTAGTATATGGATTATTTGATAGTACTAGTATTGTAGTTTTCTAATAGTTTTTTTTGAGAATTGTCTTTTATTGTATATGCAATATATTGCTAGTCCCTATTTATTATGTGATATTTATATGATATAAATTATGATGAAATATTGACTAAATTAATAATTAAAATTAAAAAAATTTTTTTTTTACGATTTCCTTTTTCTCCTAATTCTTTTATTTTCCTTTAATATAACATTCTTTATAATATCTATTTATTATATTCTTTTTACATTAACTGCGATCCTTCCTTAATATTCACTACAATTTTTACGTCATCCTTATATTTAATACGAATTCTATATTTACTTTCACCACAAAGTGTTTATTATAAATGAAATTAATACAGAATTAGTGACTAATATAGGTATTTAAAGGGATATTTTAGTGTTTATGAATATATTTCTTGAAGATGAAGGAAAGAACCAGTGACTGCTATACTAAAAGGTCGCCTATTTAGTGTTATAAGCTACATGATTTTTTGTTTAATTATTTTATTTAGTTAATCAGTTTATTTTTACTGAGATTTAATCACCTATTTTTTCTTTAATTACTTTGATTGTAATTATAGAATTTAATTACAATTTTGTTTTTAATTTTGGTTCATTTGTATTGGATTTAATCACCTTTAAAAGTATATTTTTTAGTTTATATCCTTTGTTTTCAGTTTATATTTATTGAAATTTAATCACCTATTCTATTTTTAAGTTTAATTTGTTCATATTAGGATTTATTAATTCTTTATAATTATGTTGCTAGTTTTATCTTCAGTTTGAATTTATTGAATTTTTTTTGTTATTTATTAATAAACTCAGATTTTGACAGAATAGTATTACTTAACAAATTTGAAAATAAGTCTAATGCATCTTTGTTTTCAGAAAAAAGATTTACTTTATAGGATAAATGTGAAAAGTTTCTAAATGAATGGTAAAAAATGCAGGTTTTCATATCATTAAAGATCGTATTACCTAAAGATGGTTCCCATAATTATTTTTAAAATTTTTAACTAGTTGCAACTTAAGTTGCAACACTTTGAGTTGCAATATTTTATGAATTTTTATATTAAAATAAATTTACAAGGAGTTGTAACCAAGTTACAACTCAAGTTGCAACTTATCAAGTTGCAACTTCTTAATTATGGTGCTCATCTTTAGTATTACCTGTAATGAAGATATTATCTATTGTAGGATATTTATTTATGTATATAGTCATAGATATGAATCTCATTCAATAAAAGATACTGCTACAAAAAAAATTAATTGTCTTTTTTTTGTTAATGTTTCATGTTCAAAAAATAAAAATCCTGAATGTTTTATGTGTATTAATAAAATTAATGAAAATCATAATCATCCACTAAATAGATTAATGATCAAATTTGAAGAGGCAAAAAAGTTTACAGAAGAAATGATTAAGAACATTAAATTTATGATAGTTTAATGCAAATTTAATGCAATATCTCAAAGAAAATTTCTTAAAGAAAAATTTCTATCTCATCCTGTATATTCAAAGGATTTTTATGCTGCTATTAAAAATTTCATCTAAATAGTAAGTCTTTATCAAATGATGCTGCTCAGATTTCTAATTAGCTTGATCAAGAAAAAGCAAAAGATTCTCGATGAGTTGTGGTTCGAGGATGGAATAATAATAATACTTTAACATATTTGTTTTGGATGATACTGATTCAAGTAGAAAATTGGATCTATTATTCTGATTGTATTATAAATGATGTTACTCATAAAACAAATCGATATAGGATGGTCTTATTATTAATTGTTAGCTATAACAATAATAGGTGTAATATTTTTTTACTCAAGCTCTTCTAGTTGATGAAAGTCTTGAATATCATATGTAGATATTATTCAATTAACAAAATCAACTAGCATATATCCAGTTGTTATAATTACTAATTCTAATCCAGCAGTTGATGCTGCTATTCAGCAAGCTTTTTTATCAATATATCCTATTCACTATACATATCATATAACTCAAAATTTACACAAAAATCTTAGAAAATTATTAGGTGATAATTTTCAAGCATTTCTTATGGTATTTTATAGATATCATAATTGAATTATTGAAGATATTTTTCAATATAATTTTGATATGCTTGTATAAGATTACTCTAATACTAAAACATATTTAGAATTTTTTTATAAGACGAAAACATATTGGACGTATTGTTTTATTAAATTTAAGTTTACAGTAGAAATGATATCTAGTTCTAGAATTGAATCTGTGAATAGTTGTTTAAAATGTTTTTTGCAAAATTCTAATATACCTTTATGTGATCTTATGGTTGAAATTCAAAAAGTAAATAAAGAAAATGAATATAATTTCTGGTGTCTATCTATTCCTAGCATACAAAATCAAAAAAATCCTAACTTTTTATTTACAAAAATTGGTTAAACTCTTCAATAATGCCTTATACCTACAATTCTTAAAATGCATTGTGATGAAATGAAGTAATCACTATATTATATTGCAAATCTGGTTGAACAAAATAATAATGAATTAATAGAAGAATCAATATTAACTGAAAATATTATTGAAACATCAGAAATTGATCTTCTACAAGTTATTTTGAAATAAATGATTCAATTTGTTAGTTTGCATAATATTAAAGAAATATGAGCAGTTAATGTTGACAATTTACTGAAGATTAAACATTATATTTTATTATTATGAAATTGGAAATACGTTTGTTTTTGTCTTTTAATTATACAAAATGGTATTATATGCAGACATTATTGTTAATCACAAAAGAAGCAGTTTTTTATATTGGAATTATTCTAACATGATGGTATAGTGAAGATAGTATTAATGAATATGAACCATTTTTAAATGCTGATAAATTTATATAAAAAGGTCAACAGATTACATATGAGCGTAATAAAAATACATCAAATTTATGTTTATTTAATCAAAATAATAGCAACTTTTGTGAGAAAAGATTAACAGTTCTTAAACAACAAATTATTTATGATAGATTATATAAATATATAAAAAAGTCTTAAGTAAGGCATTGGAAACTAATTCAAAATCAGAACAGCTTATCAATTTACTACAAGCTTTCGCAGAAGATAATTATGATAATCAATTAGATTCAAATGAAAATGATACAAGTGATAAAGAGAATGCTGATCTATCAGTACTATTGTTACAAAATCCAAAGAAGCATCATGGAAAAGGAAGACCATTGAATACAAAAAGATTTAAGTCATCAAATGAAGTTAGTAATTTTAAACCAAAAGCACAACGTCAATGCAAAAAATGTGGAAAGGTTGGTCATTATTAGAAGAATTGTAAGGTAAGATTGGAGTTAGTCTTAGGTTTCAAGATTATGGCTAGGTAGGATTTGAGATTAGGGTTTAATATTAAGGTTAAGGTTTAGTGATTAGAGTTCAGAATTAGAGATTAGAGATTAGAGATTAAAATTCAGGATTAGGGTTTAGGATTAGGTTTGGTATTACAGATTAGAATTTGGGATTAGTTAGGATTTGGTATTAGGGTTAGGTTATGGTTGGTTTATTTTATTATACTAACAGATTATTATTATTTTATAAGTTTAAATAAATTGTGATAGATTTGCTATTTGCTATATACTTTATTATTACTTAATAAATTTTTAATAAATTATTATCATATGATTAAAATCACGTGATTTTGAAGGACTAGCGATGCGATATTTTACAATATCCCAATATAAAAGTAAATCAATATTCACCTCCATAAGTTGATCAAAACGTGATTGTCTTTTATTGTGGTCAAAAAATGCCCCGTCTTCAGATTCGCCAATGACGTACTTTTAAATACTAGAGTTTACATAAATTATCTAAATTCTCCTTGGCAGTAAATAACTTTACTATCAGTTGACAATTAAAATGACACGTGTTGGAAACAACAAAGGTTACGTTAACGACTCCTTTTCAACAAAAAGTTTTTGTAACAAAAAGGTATGTATGTATTTTAGAACATACCAAACGTCAAGAAAGTTTTCAAAATGTCGAGTTTCTTCTCAAGCGTTGAAAAAGAATCAAGAACTTCACATTATTTATTACATCAGGATTTTTAAAGAGCGTAGAGGCGTTCTTTTTTCTGTTTAGGTCAGCAATATATTATAAATGTATGTAGTAGACATATTTGCCTTTTTATTGGATAAATAGACGAGAGAAAATACAAAACGGTCCTCTTGTTCTCGTCTTTTAAAAAACTTTGTTGCATATCAAAACTTTCCAAGTTCGGAGTATCAACTTTTATCACGAGTCACATAATATCAGCAAATATCTTTGCATAGGGATTCACCAATTTCGATATTAGTGGTTAAACTAGGAGTCGTTATTTTGTATCAAGCTTTGTTTTACATCGTGTTTCTTGCTAAAATCAAGAGTCATCACCAGAATTCATTTTATATCGACTCTGAGAATTTTACCTTTATCATTTTCATTGGAAATGAGTTATTTTTGAACCCTCCCGATTGTTACAAAATTTTATGGTTGTATCCCGTGATCCAGCCTCATGGCTGGTACTCCATACCTTATTGCAAGACGTTAGTTCTTGGGCTTGCTTGAGCCGGAGAAGCTAAATCATTCGCATTTTGTTCATGACTTTTTGGCAGTGACGGACTCGAGAAGTCTTGGTGAAGTCCTCGTCATTAATCCGAGACGCATCTAGTTGGGGACACTTTGTATTCCGCATAGCATCATCAGCATCAGGATTTGGAGGAGCGATGTCCGGACTCTCATTTGTATTATTTCTCGGATCTTACATCAAAGGTAGATCTACTGCACAAAGGAACTCGTCAAACTTGAAAAGGTCGGATTGTACTTTGTTAATCTGTTATCTCCCACAATATTGTAGATTTGTAAAAATATTACAAGACGAATTGAAAATTCTGATCAATTAAATTTAGAGACTCTCAGGAAAAAAGATCAATTTTTCGACTTTAATGATGAATTCAATTGCGAAGATATGAAACAGCAAGATTCCTTTTAATCTTCGGTTTTTGTGGGGATATACAGATTTAATGCCAAATAGTAGAATCTCGGGTCGGAGAGGCTGTTGAAGCAAATATTACAAGTACGTTTGTGGTGAATTTTATGTTAATTAATTAAGTCATACAGTATTACACTCGTTCATTATAAATGCAAGGGACATTTAGATTTATTTTACTTTAGCGGAAATTTAAGTAAAGAGTATGGAGTTGACACTGATATAGTTGTATTAATAGTTTTATACATGATGGTAAAAATTTTATCATTCAAACCAAACCATGTGTAAGTACACGATTTAGCTCTCTATGATCATAATGTTATTCTCAATCAGATAACTTGTATCTTGATGTTGAGATTGGCTCTAAATCCTTTGTGTACAGAAATGCCAAAAAGACTGGTATCGTACATATTATGGCGGACTATCGATATATCCTTTTATGTACCTTTTAATAGGGCATAATTTATTTTAAATTTTTTTTTCATTTTGAAGTGAAAATGCAGGTCGAAGTATAGGTCAAGAATATTAAATAGTTCCAAAAAGAAGCAGTATGAGACGAGTTTAATCACAAATGGGATTTATTTTCTGATCAGAAAAGCTACTTAAAGACGAAATATTACTAGCCAGATCATGGATCATTCAAGTTTTAGCGGGCGTTGGTTGTGATTTCATATCTTGAATCATTGGTTTGTTATATTTGGCACAATAAAAACATCTTTTTTTTTAAAAAAAAAAAAAAAAAAAACTGGGATTCCTATCATAATAATGTAATTGCAACTATAATCGAAAGGGCGAATTAATACTAAATAAATTATAATGATTATTACTAATGATTTAATAAATCTTTCACTAACTACACGTATTATATATAATGATAATCAACGTTTTTTCCGAGCATGTCTTTTGTCATGATACACCCTTTCATTCAAATTACCTTTTTATACTGTTCTTAAATAGATGGTATTGTAACATTTTATTGAATTAATTATTTATTTTATCCAGTTAAATTACAGGATTTATTTCAGAGAAAGTAATTCATACTTTATAAAAAAATAATGAATGGGAGAGCGACAAAAAAATTTTTTTATACGGGGAATAATCATGTGACCAAAATGTTACGATAAAAAAAAATATCTTTGCTCCTTATAAGGATCGAACTTATGACCTTCGCGTTACAGAGACCTAGATTCTAGATCTTATTAGCACGACGCTCTAACCAACTGAGCTAAAGGAGCTGGATGATTATTTGAACGGAAATAATTAATTATTTGAAGATCATTTATTTAATTGAACATGTAATTTTTTTTTTTAAAAAAATTTTCACGTCAACGAACAAAAATAATTTTTTTTTTAACAAAAAAAAAAAATGTCATGTTTTAATGTAAAATGTATAAAATTTTGCCATTTTATTATTCAAAAACAAAATTTCTTATACAGAAAAGGTGGAAAAGTGTAACATGAAATAATTTTAATAAAATACATTTTTCGAATAATATAGTTCGTCTACCTCCTTTCTCATCCAGATCTTGGGGGATATTTTCTCATTCCTTTAATTGACCACATTTTATGTGCAATTGCAAACACTCCACCACTTATAGCCCCAACAACGATTACAACCATAGGTAAAGCTTCCGGAGGCATATTTTTGATTGTAGCAATACGTCGATTAAATGAACCAAGTATTTGAGACATTTCCTTGACCAAATAGGTAAAAAAAAAAAAAAAAAAAGAGTACTAAAAGATTAGATTCCTGTCATCTTACTAAAATTACTTATTATTTCAAAATAATTACCGCGATATTATTTTTTGTTTTGAGCAAGTATGAAGAATTGTGTTTTTATTTTTTTTTTTTAAAAAAAAAACCAGATAAATAAAAAGAAATGAACGAACGTTTTTAAATAATCTCAAACTTTTTCTTTAACTTTACATTGGAAACTTTGGGCTTTTTTTTTAATTAAAAGGAAGAATACATCATATAGATGTCATATATTTACATGATTTTAGAATTCACGATATGTTTTTTTTTGAAAATTGATTCTTTTACTGTGGCTGACAATTCTGGACCTCTCTATCAAAGTTAATCTCCCCAGCTTAACGATAAAATTTTTAGGACCTCTAGGTTAGATGTTCTATTATAACATAAAAAAAATATATATCAATATTTAAATAAAATGCCATACAGGTATTAAATATTATCATGTGAATATTCTTTATGAATACTTACTAGATATATATTAACCCTAGATTTAATTTGAAACTTAAAATTCTTGATTTGGAAAAGTGCTTATCACATGAAGAGATCTAAAAAGATTTCGAAAAACTTTGCCAAGAAAAAAACCCAAACTTTAATTGTCTAAACTTTGATGTCATAAGAAATGTATCCACAATCAATCACGCAATTCAATTCAAACTTTCTTGTCACAAAAAAATTTCATCACAAAATTGGAGGTTCAACAAACATGATATATATCACTTAACCATCAATGGTTACAAAAGTCACAATGAAAAAAAAAATCACATATTTATTTTCTTTTACACAATGGCGTTTAAAAAGTTACTTGTTAATGATTTACATTTTTGGTTAACAAGAAATCTTCCTCCACAATATAGATCTGGTATCGTACCCAAGATTTTGGGTTTTTTTTCCAATTTATAATTTCTACATTTTTTTAAAGGGTAAGGATCATCGTAATTGATATACCTGAGATAAAAAAAAACGTTTCATTAATACGGATTTACATTGGGTAGATCTTTGCTTAAAAATCCATATCGTGAGACGTGAGACGAGATTAAAATTCATTCAACCTTGCTTCATGGATCGACATATGATTTACAACATGAATTAATTAATTAAAATTTGTTACGGCTTTTACCGACATATAAATAACGAATAAACAAATATGTCCACCAAAGATCTGATATCACATGATTCGATAAACCTCGCATCAATGACAAATTGGCGTGTTTTTAAAAAGACTAATCTCGTGATTGATTGATTTATTTTATTGACTTTGTTCAATGAAAAATCTTAAAAAGTTACATAAGGTGGAATATGTCTGAGGGTTTCCTACTAATTTAAAATCATAATTCCCATTCATCCCGTTTTTATTATTATAACTATTATATTTGTTTCATATTTCTCAACGATCTTTTTTTGTTTGTTTTTTTTTTGTTTAAAAAGAGTTTTTCTTATCTTACATTAATTGTATTTTGAAACGAAAGCAAAAATTAAACGAGTAAAAATTTTTTTTTTTTTTTTTTTTTTTTTTACGTGAGAATCTTATATATGTTTGAAAGTTGAGGTGTGAATAAAAGGAGGTTTGGCTTGGTGAGTCATCCTCTATCGTATCTACAAAAAAAATTTTTCTTTTTTATTGGATATTCCCACAATCCTGATCTTAATCTAACATATCTACAATAATCCACCATCTTAACACCTCTTTGAATTTTTTTATTTTTATTTTTTATTTTTTTTTACGTTTTCAAGTAATTTCCATTCGGAGGTCCGCTCATTTGATGATTTATTGATGAATCATGCCCCAAACGTATAGAAGGATTTTGCATTATTTGCGCTGACGGGTGAGGTGACGCAAGATGTAATCCCCCAATCATTCCCAGTGGCTTGGGTTGAGTTATAATCGTATGTTGCTGAAGGATTGAGGTAGAAGGTAAAACTTGCGCATTGCGGGTCATTTTATGTACAGATGCCTGGTGATGTTGTTGCATCGTCGAAAGTGCGCGTTTCCGAGTCAATTTTGCAAAGTCTAGTTATTCGTTTTGATAGTTATATTAATAACTTTGATTAATAAAATAAAGTACCATTGAGAATAATTTTTAATGAACTCACGTAGACCACAGGCATTACAGAGGGTTCTGGCACCATCCGGACCGCGACGCCATTCTGGAGTCTCGGATATATTACACGAATGACATCTTCCGGGAGGCGCAGCACGTTTCTAGAATATTTGTCGATCAATTAGGCAAAGTTTAACAAACCAAACAAAAAAAAATTATAAAAAAAACTTACACTTCGTTTTCGATATTTGGTGCGAGTGGCTGAAGGGCCAACGGTCGTTCTTTTGGTCCTGATTAGGTTTATTGTATCTTGGTCATTCTGTATGTTTATATAATTAATATAATATATTATTTATTATTTATTTATTGTCGGAGTCTGAATGAACCTCCCAAATTACGGGACTTACCGATATGGTATGGCCAATTTCATTTTTAACCCCATTCAATATGCCTAAAATTTGATATGCCCTGTTGATCATTTCGGGAACCTGCTGTTCCAGGTTTACAACATTTGCAACGGGCGTTCCCGTGGGATTGGAGCTCCAGTGGTTAGCGTTGGTTGGATACGGTCCAAACTTACTCATTTGGTTGCGATATTCACTATATTGTGTCGCAAAGTGACTAATTATGGTGCAATATTCTGTGATCTGAATTTGATAAAGACGTTGCCGATTAAAACATAAACCTGTTTTTTAGATCGGATTTTTTTATATATATATCATCAATCATTATTTACCTTTTGCATCTCTGCCAATGTTTTGTCAATATTCTGCGTACCGCTAGTACTTTGTTCTCCATTATCTTTAGCGTAAGTTCCATTGTTCTGAAGAAATTCTGGAGTATAATTATTGCTAACAAATCGAACCGGAAGTTGTATCGGTTGTATCGGTTTCATTTCTATATTTTGATACATCGTTTTTTGAGGAGACGAAGTGCTAGTGGAGGAAGATGATTGAGAAGATCGTGGGGAATGAAGGATGGCCTGAGGTCTTGTCCACATTGTAGAATTTTGAGCAAGATGCGGTGATCGTGAGGGCAAGTTTGAATGACTAAAAGAGTTATTTGAGTGTTGTTGTAGCAACCCATGTTGAAGTGAGGTTCTAATACCATTTTCGGAGGACCGCGATACCATTGGCTGTTGCTTTGACGTGTTGTAAATAGTAGAAGATTGTTGTGAATGTGAAATCATATTTCCTGTGGAATAAACTTGATGTTGTTTCAAAGATGATTGTTGACCGTCTGATGAAAGATTTTCAAAATGTATTATAGAAGGCAAACGCATATCGGGAGCGATCGCGCGCTGAGATGAATGAGTCACGCCATCTTGTGACTGAAGAAGATCAGCATAGTTCACTTGTCTCGGTATATGAGAGCCATGATCAGGGTACAATGGGGAGTTTGTTCTGGAAATATGTTGTTGCTGCTGTTGTTGCTGCTGTTGTTGTTGTTGTTGTTGTTGTTGTTGCTGTTGCTGTTGCTGTTGCTGTTGCTGCTTGGGTTCCTCGTGGCACACGCTATTGTACCTCTCGTGGATGTCCGGTGTATGATGATGTGACGTCATTGGAGAACGGTTCACGGAATCCGAAATTTCTCTATGAACCTCCGATAAACCATGCTGTGGCGTTGGACGCAACAATACCGACAATGGCGGAAGTACTCCTTTGGATTCCGACATCGTTTCGTGAGTTCTGTGATTTTATGAATTATTTTTTTTTGAAAATGAACTTTACGTATACCGGAAACATAGAGACGTAAAAAAAGAATTTTGCTTACGGGGAAGGCATATGCTGCTGCATATGCTGTCTGTTTATAGGTGACGTCACGCTGGATTTTGAGCCGGTCATGTGATCGATCGACGGAAGCGAGCAAATTGAAGTGACACCTTCCATGTAACTGGGAAGTTCGAGTTCCAAAAGGTTTCAAATAAAAGGGGCTAGATAGAAAAATTGCGCCGGGTATAGATAAAAAATTATAACGAAATTCGTTAATTTTATAACAGAAGTTTCTAAATACAGAATCTAAAAGTGTGTCTTATCCGAGAGAGTATTATTATTATTGTAACAAAATTTGAAAACATGGATCTACGCTTCGTTTTTAAAGGAATATTTTGTTTGTTCTGAATCAGTGTTACACCTAATATTCATATTTTTTGTCCTGCAGAAGAAAATGCAAAGTATCACATGGTATCACAATGTGTTGATGGTATCCTTATCTTATCAATTCATTCCCAAGTTCGTCAAAGTAGGATCCTCAATCTGTTTTGTTTTGAGAGGGTTGTCACAACTTTCTCTTCTTACTAGGTCTTATTGTTTTACCCTCTCATATTTTCTTTCTTTTATTTTTTTTCTTTATTCGTTTTTTTTTTTTTTTTTTTTTTTTGGCTGGGGTAGAACCCGAATTGTTTTGGTCAAAAGATTCCGCCAACTAACAGTAAATAAACAACATACCAAAACAAAGAACTAAATAGAAAAACCTTGTACATTGGGGAGCCTAACTATTTAGTACTTTGAAAGTTGATTGGTCGATTGATGTATGTGCGATGTTATACATGTTATACAGGCTTTAACACTTACACGAAAGAAATAAATCCAAAGGTTGTCTTTTTTTATAAAACACCCAAAAAGAAAAAAATAGTTTTTTTTTTCCTCGGTTTTTTTCTTTTTGACTGAGAAAAAAAATGAAATAAAAAAAAATCACGCAATATAAATATATTATGTGTATGTATATATTTTTAAATTGTTCGGAGATTAAATTTTTTTAAAAAAAATCAACCAAAATTCGAATATTGAAGTTTGGTTGATTTTATTTAAAAAAAAAAAAAAAAAAAAAAAAAAAAAAAAAATTTTTTATTGTACAGAAGGGGGTAATCTGTATTAACGCGATTCACAATGTGTTTATTTTTTTTTTTTTACTTATTAGAAAAAGGAAAAAAAAAAAAGGGTCAAAAAAGAAATCGCGAGATTTTATTAAACTTGGGAACATATTTATAATTTAAGTGATTTACTTGATGATTAACCTTTACTTTACAAGTTAAATATGAATAAATTATCACAAATTACATATATACTTTATCCGTGTGAATTATTGATTGATAAACAATCTGATAAATAAATTGTTATAAATAATTTGTAAATAGAAATTTAAATCTAAATTAACCTACTTTTGATTCTTTTTGATTAAAAGTAAAGAAACGAATAAAAAAAAACCACACTTGAAAGGTATAATTAATTGTAAAGTAGGAAAGTCTAGTTGCGAATCCATAATAAACACAACATATAATTTTATTTATAAAAATAAACAATTACTCAATTAGTGCATGATAATATTTATCACAAAATAAAAAGGTTTTATGGTGATATATATTTTTTTTCCATAAAGAATGGGTGTACAATCTTTGGTTTAAGTGTTACTTTGATCGAGATTTTTTTTTTTTTAATTTTATACAAATCTGGTTTTGTAACTTGTTGTGTTAATTTTTTTCTTTACATTTCTTACCACAATTGTTTTTCTAAAATTCCTATCACAAGTACCTATCCTATCAACACATGAAAAAATCGTATTTGAGATTACTTTATTAAATTGTCATTTAAAAAATGCACATCTCAATGATGATGATGATGAAAAAAAAAAAGAAAAACCAAACCCAAATCAAAAACAAAGAATTAAACCTTAAAAAAAAAAAAAATAATAATAATTATAATTTCCAATTTATTTGTAAATGAAATAAAAAAAAAAGTATTGTGATGAAATCTAACAACAAATATTTTATTTATTCACAAAAGTGTAATTCAATAGAAAAAAAGTTGAGATTTTCTAATTTAATTTTTTTTTACGCCCATGGAATCATAAATGGTAAGATGAAAGAAGGGCGCGTGAGTTCTATTGAATTTGGATGTTGGACTGACATTACTATAACACACAACATAAATATTTATAATAATAAACTTGCGAAACAATTTTGCAAATTTTTGTACCATATAAAATGCATGCATTTCCCTTTGGATTGTAAATGCATCTCTCATGCTTAATCATTCAAATCAATTAAATAATTTCTGCATGGATACATGTGTGACGCTTTTCTTGTTCATCCAGTTTCTATGTGTAAACGATTTCCTTATCAGTTATATATTAAGTGTTCCTTTTTTTAAACTCTAGCTCATGGAAACAAATTTTTAAAGAGGTCGTTCTGCATTACGGAAGTACGAAACTCGAAATAAATTTGTCTTTACACAAGATTTTCATTGCATCAATGAAAAACCTAACTAGACAAACTCAATCTAAAATAGAATCTTTAATCAACACTAAATCAGTATTTTGATCTCACAGCATCACCCCTAATTGACACCATGTGTGTGACTTTGCAGACAGACAAACAACGAAAACTCGATCCTATCATCCACAAGAACTCGATCGTATCCATCGTTGATTTTGTTGATCTCAATCGGACCAATTTGGAAATAAAAGTGACACCTTGAAAGGATGTGACTGTTTGGAGTTATGTTGATTCCTTACTGTAAGCTTCTTTGATGACCGGCACATTTTCCTCAGAACCATATCTCTAAACGTTGCCGTAAATTTCCGAAAATCTTTCGAAAAGATGAAATACAAATTATATGATTGCTTAGCATAAGATTGAACACAAAATGCTACTTTAAAGGATCCCATTAAGAAGGCATGGTGGGGAAAAATATGTCAGTACTTTGATGGGCGAACTCGCAAGACAATATGAAAATTACAATCGAAATGAAGGATTATGTAAACCCATTTGTTAGCACAGATAACGTTATTCATGCGAGAATGCTTTGACAGTAAATCTTGCCTGACTACGCAAAAATGATCAACAAATTTCCTTGAATATATAATAATTTTTTTTTTTCTGCAGATTCTATTGTGTTCATTTTTATCAATAAAAAAAAAAAAAAAAAAGAGATTATCTAAATAGTATCTAAGATTATGATAAGCACATTGGATCATTGTTTTCCTGTTCCTTTGTATATATATATATTTTTTTTACTCTCTTTTTTTTATTTATTACAATCTTTTTTTAAACATAAAGCAATTTCCATTTTGGTTTCGTTTACATTATGATCTTATTTATTTTGATTATTCGATTGGCGAAAATCGCAGATCCACTTTTGGGAAAGTAACCCAAAAAGACCTGAACTTGTTATCACGTGAATGTTTGATCGGTAGCATCGTGTACCATCATCATTACAGATCTACCCTATCTTTTCTTGGTTGCTGTTCTTATCCTTTGTTACAATACATATATTTATAAATATAGGATACGATTCATTGGAAAACTTTGTTATAAAGTTCTTTTTTCTTTATTTTCTTTGCATAATATTTTCGTAAAATCCCAGCTGAAAAGAATATTGTTATAATATTTATTGTTTTCATTATCTTTCATAAGTAAATGAATCACTGATTAGGAAGGTCATTGTGTTATTTTTTTTTCTTTGAAACAAAAAGAAGAAAGAAGGAACAGTAGATTTTTTTAATGCAAATATTTACCAAAAACCCAATATTTTGTTTATGGTTGCACGGAAATTTCCTGATGCAGGCGCAGTGGCTGCGCATTCTCAGATACGCCCAATTTTATTCTACCAAATCCAATAATCCTTATGATAAATTATTTCCATATATTGTTGTTAGGGTTGCGTGGTGTAATGGTTAGCACCCAAGACTCTGAATCTTGTGATCCGAGTTCGAATCTCGGCGCGACCTTTTCTTATTTGAATATACTGCCGTCACCTAAATTGACGTTTTTTTTCCTTTTTTTTGCTGTAAAAAAAAAAAGATTTTTTTTTTTTAAAATCTCTTTTACAGGAATCGCATTGATTGATTTTACTAAGAATGAATGCTTTTTTTAGAAGCGATGTGAACAAAATTCTTGATAATCAACGCTGTATGATGTACATCTGAACTTTTCATTGGACGGTCTTGAAAATTTTTTCGAAAAATTACGTGATTATAAATATCATGTAATATTCATCGTACTATATGTTTGCTTAGAAATCTGTGATAATTACAATCCAATCAGACATAAGAACCTATTATTAGCTTCAACTTCTCTTGCCAGATCTCGACTCAATTCTACCACCTTTATACCCTTCACCTTAAACACGACACGAAACTCTTAAGAAGGTCAAGTATGTTCGCCTTCAAACTCGTTAATTTCGGTGTGTCTAAACGGGCCTTTTCTTCTTCGGCGGTTACTGCTGCGAAGGTGGCAGTTCTCGGGGCCGCCGGTGGTATTGGACAGCCACTCTCGCTACTTCTTAAGCACAACGAGTTGATATCACACTTATCACTCTATGACATAGTGAATACACCTGGAGTAGCCGCTGACATAAGTCACATTAACACCGCAAGCAAGGTTTCCTTCCTCTTTATTTTAGTCTTTGTGTTTAGGAAATAGACAAAACCGAGTTCCTGATGTGTAACAATTAAAAATATCCCATTGATACAGTTACCAAATCACTAATCACTATCATCTTTATCAAAGGTTACGGGCTACGTTCCTGAAAATGATGGACTCAAGTTGGCTTTAACTGATGCCGATATCATCGTCATTCCAGCTGGTGTTCCTCGAAAGCCGGGTATGTCCCGTGATGATTTGTTCAATGTACGTTGTTGTTTACTTTGATCGTAAAGTTGAACAGTCTTTTTGATTTTTTTTGATTCTTTTTTTTTTTAAAAAAATATATATATATTTAATATATTTATTATCAATTGAAATCATTTAATAATCAGACTAATGCTGGGATCGTAAAGGATTTGGCCATTGCCGCTGCGCAGTGAGTATATTAACAGATCAAAGATCAAGGGAGACCGATCGTATATCTAAAAATCTTATTGTTAACCGTCTTAAAGATATGCACCAAAG